AGATAGAAAAATTGGTCGAGTCTATATCTCCCGTGATATGGTTTTTGATGAGTCATGTTTCCCGTTTCCAACCTCTTCCACTATACCCTCTCCCACATCCACAGATGTGTCTTTTCCTCAATCTGAACCACAAATTGTGAATGGTCACTTACGAAATTATGACCTTTCTTTTTTGTTAGCTAACTCTTCTGATGCAACTGCAACAACTCTAGCCCGTGGTGTTCATTTTCAGCGCCCGAGTGCACCTTCACAGCCACCAGCTGTGCCATTGCCCCTGATTCTTCGACACCTATGGATGCCCCAGCTCCAGTCGTTGCTACGCTCATTGAGCCCGTTACTCCAACAACCCATGTTGCTACCGAGGGCACTCCTATCCAAGCTGAGTCTTCTCCTATCAGTACCACTCCACAACAACTAGGGGGTGACAACTCGTGCTCATAAATCTTCCCCTCGTAAATTTACTGATGGTACAGTTATATACAACCCACAACGATGGGCCTTCTTTGCGGAACCGACTTCACATCGCCAGCCCTTAGCTGAACCCAACTGGAAGCTTGCTATGGAAGCTGAATTTGCTGCACTACGTAACAATAATAACTGGGTTCTGGTTCCACGCCCTGCCGATGTCAATGTTGTCAGATACAAATGGATTTTCAAACTTAAACAACATCCAGATGGCTCCATTCATAAACATAAGGCTTGTTTGGTTGCTCGGGGCTTTACTCAACAATATGGGGTGGATTATCAAGATACATTCAGTCTTGTGGTCAAACCAACCAAGGTTCACTTGATCCTCTCTATTATTGTCTCAAGAGGATGGAACCTTCGTCAAATTGATGTCAATAATGCGTTCTTACATGGCATCTTAAATGAGGATGTTTACATAAGGCAACCTCCTGGTTTTGAAGACTCGCGCAGGCCTCACTACATGTGCAAACTCCAGAAGTCAATTTATGGTCTTAAACAGTCGCCACGTGCATGGTTCTCTCGTCTAAGTGACAAACTCCATCAACTGGGTTTTCACTCATCCAAGGCTAACACCTCCCTTTTCATTTTTTCACCATGGGAAGCACACTATCTATATGCTTGTTTATGTTGACGATATTGTTATTGCATGTTCATCTCAGTTACTTGTTGATCGATTGATACATTGTTTTTCATCATCTTTTTCCATCAAGGATCTTGGTCACCTCACATACTTCTTAGGGATTGAAGTCACTCATAATTCAGGGGGTATTACCCTTATGCAACGCAAGTATGCCTTGGATCTATTGCATCAGACTCACATGGAGAATTGCAAAAGCGTTTCAACCCTTATGTATGTTACAGAAAAACTATCTCGGGAATCTGGAAAAGCACTCAGTGATGATGACGCTTCCAAATACATGAGCATGGTTGGAGGTCTCCGGTATCTCACCCTAACGTGGCCTGATATCTCTTTCGCAGTAAACAAAGTCTGTCAATATTTGTTTAAGCCAACTGATGTCCACTGGGAAGCTGTCAAACGCATACTGAGATACATAAAGGGAATGAACAATACTGGATTGCATATTCGAAAGTTTAAGTCTACACTTCTGAGTGTGTTTACAGATGCTGATTGGTCCGTATGTGTAGACTATCGCAGGTCTACTGGAGAATTTGTTGTATTTCTAGGACCAAATATGATCTCATGGAGTTCACACAAACAACCAACAGTATCTCGATCGAGTACAAAAGCAGAGTACAAAGCCTTGACAAATGGAATAGTTGAAGCGACGTGGGTGCAATCTCTACTCAAGGAATTAGGCGTTTGTCAACCAAGACCACTGGTCCTATGGTGTGATAATCTATGAGCTACATACCTACTTAACAACAAATCCAGTATTCCATGCACGAACCAAACACATAGAAGTTGATTTTCATTTTGTCAGAGAAAAGGTGGTAATGGGTGCTTTGGAGGTTCGTTTCATATCATCCAAAGATAAAGTAGCTAATGGATTCACCAAACCGACCACATACTCTATGCTAGATCAGCTTCGAGACAATCTAAAACCTTGTTACGGTTAATATTGAGGGGGAATGTAAACCAAAGATATATGATCAGATTACGTAGATTATATTAGATAACTACAAGTATTTGTTTTATAGATAAGCATCCTAAAGTCTAGGATCTATCCTCTGTAATCTGTTATCTATAAATATAATACATCACCCTTTAGGGTTTGTAAGGCAAAATAACATGTTTCACTCTTACAGTTGACATTCTTTTGCAGCAAAGATGGATTAATCCTTAATGTTGCCGATTGTCATTTTTTTGCACCAACAATAATTATTCCTTTTTTGCTCTTCTCGTTTTTAGATCATTATAACATGTATATTTGTCTTCTTTTATATTAGGCTTCATCTTAACACACAGTAATAACACAGGGAAAATGACCTTTGAGGGTAACTAACTGTTGCGTTTGTTTTCATTTGGTCTCTTTCCTTTTTTTGTACTCAATATACCATCGAACTTGTTGTTTGTGTTCACCATAACCCTTTTGACCGACTTTTAACCGACTATCACCTGTGATAGCCAGTCAAAGGGTTATGGTGAACACAAACAACAAGTTCGATGGTATATTGAGTACAAAAAAGGGACCAAATGAGAACAAACTCAACAGTTGGTTACCCTCCTGAGTCATTTTCACCAAAAAGTTAAATGAAATTAAAGTGACAAAAGTATCAAAGACTGCAACCTTCTTTGGCCATAACGTACATGAAGAGCGTTTCGGAGGGGTAGCTTCGTTAAAACATGGTCTATGTTATGCTTACTGTGGTTAACTGTCAACACCTCTCAACAAAAGGATATGACTATGTATGAGAGGTATATTTATCAACATAAACGTTTACCTCAAGGTATATTATGGTGATGTGTCTGCAAAAACTGCATGATCTTGTACATATTGATGTTGTATCTTCTCCCATGAATTCGATCTTAAAGCCAAGTAAACTAAAAAATCACAGCACTTGTGATTCCACTCGTTTGTAGACTTGTCCAGAATCCATGATATGATAAATCATTTGATTGCAAATGTAAATTTAGTCATGAAATGCACCTGATTAGTTAAGATTTCCCTAATAAATATTCAAGTGCATTACAAAGGTGTACATGTATGAATAATGTTCTTTCGTGGGTTATGTTTTGAAGAGAAGCAAAAATGAATCTCATAAAGTCATTAATATAAGCATGAGATGACGTGAGATTTTCTGTAAATGAGTAAAGGAAAAATGACTCAGGAGGGTAACCAACTGTTGAGTTTGTCCACATTTGGTCCCTTTCCTTTTTTTGTACTCAATATACCATCAAACTTGTTGTTTGTGTTCACCATAACCCTTTGATCGGCTATCACAGGTGATAGCCGGTCAAAAGGGTTATGATGAACACAAACAACAAGTTCGATGATATATTGAGTACAAAAAAAGGGACCAAATGAGAACAAACGCAACAGTTAGTTACCCTCAAAGGTCATTTTCCCTAATAACACACGTAGGAAAGGGTGGAGCACTAAAAATCAATATTGGTTTAGGAACCACATATTCATGTTGTGTTGTATGAAATCACAATAAAATCGAGATTATAACGAATGACCACCAATTCGAAGGATGCCAATATCACATTAAAAAACATCCCTGTGACCAAAGGGTTTCTAGTCCAGCGGTATCAGACGGTGTTCTCCCTCTTTGAGGTTGAAAGTTCAAGTCTAGTGATAAACATAGATGGAATTAGGTGTTAGTTTAGGAGCAGATTATATATTTATATTTGTCGGTTCAAAAAAAAAAAAGACATCCCTGTGAGTTTGCGGGCACTTATTCGCAATTTTCTAGAAGTTATTTCGTTAAAATTCGAAAAAAGATAATTGTGTTCCTCTATATGTTGTTACTTAAGTGAATAACTTCCATTAAATTGGTATTAATTACCAAGGAAGAGAAGTAGAAAAGAGATTAGTATACTATATAATATATATATGAATGGCCAACAGCTAAGAGTATGTGGTGGATGTGACTCTGAAACGGCAGCGCCGTGCCGTAGAAAGAAGTTTGTAGTGATGGTGGTGGTTGGATCAACTTTTTTAAATTATTAGGCGCCATCTTTTTTTTTTCGCTTTCTTGTGCGGCCCACGTTAATAATGTGCTTAAAAGACTTGAATAACAGATCATGCTATCATGTATATAAAGGGGGTATATTGATCAGTAATTATATGTTATAGTGTGATTAGAAGCAGAGATTTAATTCTAGGTAATAATTTTAGACTGTCTGAGTATGTTTTTCTTGTCCTAAGTGTAAATTGTTTTATAAATTCTCTGAAAATAAAGATAAACAACGAAATTAATTATAAGTTTTGTTAACTAAAACCATTCAAAATTGTCATTTTTTTATAAAGAAACAAAAGCTAAAACTAATAACCAAATTAAAAATAAAGTAAGGGCTATTCATTAACAACTTTCATTTAACGAAAATTTTCTAACAAAAGTATAGGAAGATTATCACATATTTTGTCAAAAAATCTCCTGCAAAACAACTTTCATTTAACGAAAAATTTCTAACAATTTCATAATTCATTGTCTATTTTTTTATTTATAAAACCTGTTTTGCCATATACTTATTGGTTTGTAAAATATCATCTCAATAAATGACATAATAGAGGCATCTTCAACGAATATTTGCAAAATATATAACTATTATTTTATTAAAATTGTGAAAATAATGTTCGATTGTTATGTATTTAGTCTCATTTCCATTCAGTTATTTTAATGAATAACATATAAAATAAAGTTCTATCCTTAATTATTGGTATTATAATATATGAAGAATCCATGATTACCATAAACATCTGGAAACGGAAAATGATATGAGATTCCCATGTGAATGACAAAGGAACAACCCTTATCAAGCTGTCACTCTACTTTTCCCCTATAAAAAACCAAAACCAACAAAACTCTTCCACATCTCATACTGACATCATTCTTCATTTCAAGAAATGGCGCAAATTAGCAGCAACATTATGAAGAAAGCTTCAGTTCTCGCCGTCGTTGCATTCTCTGTGGCAGCCACCGTATCAGCTCAAGCAACGGCTCCCGCACCTTCTCCTGACGCCGGAGTGGCCTTCTCTGTTCCGATTTCTGGAGTTGTGATCGGATCTTCTATGCTTCTATCTCTCGTCGTTCTCTTCAGGCACTAGTGATGTTTCTTATTCGGTTTATAATATTATTCCTTTTGTATTCCTATGATTCTTTTGTGAGAGGATATATGTGACTACTATTCACGATCATGTTATTTATTTTTTGAATCTATATATTCTAGACATCTCTTGTGTTGGAATTATTTGGATGAAAAATTGAATGTTGATGATCGAATTGCTTGGATAGTTGTGGAACGCGGTGTAATCATTTTTCTTCAAACTATTTGCTCTTTATGTCTAGAATTCTATAAATAATTTAGCAGGATAATGTAACAAGAACGTAACATTCCAATATTAGGCACAACGTGAGATTAAACAAGTAAAAAATTTATATGAGAATTGTTCGTAATATTAGAAATATTGAAGGAGTATTAAGTATATGCACACAGGGCGGATCCAGGATTTTATGATAATGGGGGCTTACACCGAAATAAAATATTAAAATATTCTTTATATCCAAATAACATAATAGAGCTTATAAAATTCAAAAAGAAATTGATAAAGAAAAAACGTCCAAATATGAGCTACATCGATCTATGCAATGAATCAATCTTCAAATGTTTTCAAACGATCATAAGCACCGATTCTCATCCATAACCTTCTAGAATTAAAATAATTTGTTAGAACATTGATACATATTGTAACGTAGTGTAGGTCATTCACATCTTTTTTTTTTTTTCGTTTAATGTAGGTCACTAATCGAATGTAATGTAGGTCATTCTCATCTTTTTTTTACGTTTAAAAAAGAATGAAAAATGGAGTGTTTTTTTTTCTTATTCATGATTTACCCTAGAGTTATAAAAACCCAAATTACTAACTATAATACTATCATTAATTTAAATTGCAAATTACATAAATTAACAAAATAAAAGAACTAAATATGTAATAAGGATTAAAAAGTTCACATTATTGAATTTAGAGTTAAAATTTCAAATTTGGAGACCATAGCACTAATTTGGAGATCGTAGCTTTGAAGCAACCAAACCAAAATTTCTTAACAGTGTCGTCGATGACTATTATGGATATTATTTAACTAAAAGTATCTATTTTATAATATTAGAGGTAGGATTTTAGTAATCATCCAAACTAAACAATAGGTTAATTAAATAAATAAAGGGGGCTAGTGGACTTTACATATGTATTCGATGTGGGTTAATTTAATTGGTCATTATATAGCAAGTAAAACAAATGGTATTAGGGGGGGCAAGGCAGCGGCTAGCCCCTCCATTCCCTCCGCCATTGTATGCACACAAAATCCATTTAAAATATGAGTACGAAAAACATTAATTACCACTAACTTTATTTAATAAAATGACAGTTTTGTCCATACTTTGCATTTAATGTTCCATTAAATGTTTAGTTGGTTAAGCAAGAATGAGGGGTATTTTGGTAAAAATGTTATTTATTTTTAGAAGTGGACTATTATTTTGGGACAAACCAAAAATGAAAGATGGACTATAATTTTGAGACGGATGGAGTATAAAACTTGAGACTTCTGTCTAATTCAAATTCATTGGTTCTTTTTTGAATGTATTTATCGTTTGGAATAATATTTTGGTTTCGGGGTGGTGCCTCAAAGCAACTGCAGAAAATTATTGTCTAGATATTCAAACCATAGGGTGATTTCTACTAGTTAATAATAATTTGGCAATGTTACTTTGGTTAAAGCTTGTTTCCCTGTCTATAGTTGTATATTTGGTTTTGAAAAGTATTTTTGGAGGTTTTGATTTTGAGTTTGAATAATCTCCAATTATCTAAAATTCTTAAAGAGTCAACATTGGGCATATTCATTAGGTTTTCAAAGCCTAAAACTTTTCTATAACTAAATATAATACTAAGTTCCACAAACTATTGAGCTTTGCATGAAGGTTGGTACCCGATGTGGCAATCAAGATTAGCCAATATGTTTAAGGGATACTACCATGAAATTTTAAACTAAACTTTGGAGAACCCACTACTTTAGAATAAGCGATGAGAAAAGATGAGAAAAGTAAGAAAATGGAGAAATAGATAATGGAAGGCAAAGAAGTCAAGTCCACAAAAGGAATAATGAAGAATATACAGTAAGTAAGAAAGCATCTACTGTAATAAATGAAAATATTTTTGCCACATGTCACAATCTCGTTGATTTGGCCACATGTCATTTTGTGGTTATTTTTAATTAAATTTTTTCCACATGACATTTTGTGGTTTTTTTTTTCATTTTATCAAATTCCACATAATATTTAAATGTAATAATTATAATAAATGTAATAATAAATGATATCAATTTCATTAATTACTTTCCTTTTAGTTTTAAAATTTTTCTAAATTAAAAACATCATTACTTTTCTTTGTTTATTTATCTAAATTATTTGTTTAAATTTAAAAAATAAAACAAACACATTAATTTTAATAATTCAATATTTTTCTAATTTTTTTTTATAAATTCAAACTTTTAAAATGTTTAGAATTTCATATTTAAATTTTCTTTTGAATGAATTCATGGGTTTTACACCTAGTTTGACAATAAAATAAAAATATTTTGAGGAATGGATAAGAGAAAAATTGTGCATAGTAAATAATTTGAGGTTACTTGCCATAAGTGTAGATAGAAGGACATATTATGCTAATGTTTGCAAAAAGGGACCCTAAGGTAGTGTTTTTTTTTTCTCTGCAGATCTGCGTAGCCTCTTCTGTCTGCGCCGCGCAGACCACGCGCAGACATTAGTCTTCACATACTGTTTGTTTTTTTGAAGACTGCAGACGTAAAAATGTCTGCGCGCCCTCTTCTTGGCGCAGATGTGGACCAGAGTCTTCTAACATCTTTAAACATCTTCTAGCCTAAAAAACATATATATCTTTATTTTTTTTAAGTTTTTTTTAATTTATATTTTTTCCAACTTTATTAATGATAAACAATTTGAAAAAAAATTACAAAACTTAAAAAAAATGTTCGACGATACAAACATGATATTTTTGACAAATTTATAAACAAAGATTTATTACAATAATAGTCGTTGAAGTTGTTTATATAAATATGAAAAAAAAATCATAATATATTCTTATATTTTTTTGCCAAATTTTGTAAAACATTATTTAATATAGTATCGTTAATTTCTCGAGAAAATATTTATGATACGTTTTTAATGGATTTAATTGAAAAAATCAAAGTTTAGTGTATCAAATTTTTTGATCACTAATTATAATGTTTAGTTATAACTTTGCAACCAAAGTTGTTGGTTTTTATCAAATATATACGTTAATTCATACCATTTTTATTTTTATTTTTTATACAATAATACATAAATGTTGATCTAGATTCGTTAATTATTTATAACAAAGTCATAAAAATATTAAAAAATCACTTTGAAGTTTAAAAAAATCAGTTTATTTAGATTTCAGTTTATTTTAATAGCCCGCAGATATTAAAAAAACAAACAGTCTTCTTTTTTCAGATTGCAGACGTTTGGTCCACCTCTTCTACTGCAGAGGTCTACAGATGTGGTCCGCAGACTGCAGACATTTTGCCTCAGAAAAAACAAACAACACCTAAGTTACAAGTGTAATGAATTGGTCATATTGCACTATGCCTAAAAGTGAAGGGTGGCGGAAATCAGAAAGAAAATATTTTCCAAAAGCTAAAGTTAAAGCATTTCAAATGACTATGTATATAGCTCGTGAAGATATCGATGTTGTTTTAGGTACATCTCTTTTGGATTCTATTACACGTCATTATTTTTATTTGGGAGCTACTTATTCTTAAGGAATTTCGTTGCTGTCATTATCCCTATTAGTTTTCTTATCGGATTGGGTTATCATTATCTTTTCATAGTTTTAGCCTCCTAGTTTGTTTGCAATTTTGATTAGTGATTGTATATATTTTTCGATCATTGAATGAAATAATCAAGTCTTCGACTATCAATTTCTTTGATAAAAATGTTCCTTATGTACATTAGAAGTGGGGAGAAAAAAAAAAAAGGGGGGGGGGGGTACAGGATTTGATGCGAAATAGATGAAATTTTGTAATATAGAGAGGTTGTACATATGTAACATATTTATTTCAATTGAAAAAGCAAGTTCTAATCTGACAATTAAATTTCTGTCGTGTTCTAATATACTGAAGAGAACTTTTTCGATTTGTTTATTTATGAGACCAATAATTTTCTTATTATTATTTTAGTGGTGTTTGTATAAGTTACTTGTTGAAAACATATGAGTCCATCACAAAAATTTAAAAGCTCATGTCAAGAGCCTATTAATTTAGAAGGCTTTTCAAATCACTTTAATTTAAAAAGCTCGTCCAATGGCTTTTTCAATTTTCTAAGAGTTTTTTTTTAAAAAAAATCATAAAGATATCCTATTATGCATGCTCTAAATATCGACATGATATATTTCATTATGTCGATTTGAAACGACTTACATAAGTCTAAGATGTTGAATATTTTCTAAGAGTTTTTTTTGTTTGAAAAAATCATAAAGATATCCTATTATGCATGCTCTAAATATCGACATGATATATTTCATTATGTCGATTTGAAACGACTTACATAAGTCTGAGATGTTGAATCGATTGAGACCGATCTTGAAAATTAGACCAAGACCGGACATACCGGTCTAGGGCCAAGCAATCCAATTTTGTTCCAGAAAGAGAGTCTCGGGTCGGTCCACATTTTCATCTACTCGTCGGTCTTGCAGTTGTTTTAAATTGGTCCAAAGTTGGGCTGATCTTGGTCTCAATCTAAAATTGGCCCAAGAAAAACTGGTCTAAAAGTCGAGATGGGTTGACTTTAAGGCGATTTGGGTCTGGGCCGGGTGTGATTCCAAGTTAACAACTAGTTTCCACTTTCCAAGACCAAAGGTAACTTTTTGGGCCTAGTCAATATAGACGGATCTCAACGGCTATATTAACAACTATTTTTCTCTGAAAATTACCTTATAAATACCTCCTACTTTCTAAACATTTTTCTACCCAAAACTCTATTTCTCTCTTGAAATGTCTCGCTATCTCTAAAATTCTTTCCTCTTTAGCAATCTCCAGTTCTCTTAAACAATCAAACAATATCGAGAGTCAGAAGGAACTCGCTTTTGATCCAATCACACAGTTTGAGGAATGTAGCAAAGAAAATCATACCGCGTCTATTTGGAATAATTTTGTGTTAAATTGCAAGAA